ATCAGAGCCCCCTAGCGTGTGCCAGGAGTCAGAATTCCCCAGGAATCCAGTATCAGAGTCTCTGTTGTTTCGCACGACCTTGTATTGAGAATCAGGGTCCCTGTGTGCCCATGCAGCAAGAACTGGAGTAACTGGCTCTTAGTATGAATGGACAGGGAATCAGGGATCCCAGGTGCAGGTGATAAGAAACACAGTCAAGCCGAAACCGGTTTGGCTCAGTGGAGAGAGCGTCGGCCTGCGGACTGAGGGGTCCCAGGTTCGATTCCGGTCAAGGTCATGTGCCTGGGTTGAAATCAATAAAATATATTTTTTTAAAAAGAAACACAGTCAATGTGTGGGGTCCCTGGGTCCGCGCTACGCAGGACAAATTCCTGGTGTTCACATGTTAGCTCCCAGGCCAGGGCTCCTGTAGCCGGCACTGCGCACAGGACCCGTTCCCGGTGTTTGCGGGTTAGCTCCCAGGCCAGGGCTCCTGTAGCCGGCACTGAGCGCAGGATCAGTTACCGGTGTTAGCGTGTTAGCCTCCAGGCCAGGGCACCTATAGCCGGCACTGTGCAGGACCAGTTCCAAGGTGCTCGCACACTTCCAGGCTAAAGTTCCTGTAGCAGCACTGAGGCCCTGGCAAGGGGTGGGTCTATCAGTTACTCTGGTGCTGCCCACAAGCCTGTGGGGAGCGGGATGGGCTCTTATACTCATGGATCTGCCGTGGGGATTTCTGGACTTTTGGTGTCCGTGAGTCTGTAGCTGTGGTCACAGGTCTCTGTCCCCAGTGGCTGCAGGGTCCTGGTATTTGTCTGAGATCAGACTGGGTGGTGCTGAGGCCAGGATCCTAGTCTTGAGCAGCTCTGCTTCTCAAGATGGTGTGGGTGCTGTGCCCGTGCTGGCCACCCAGGAGTGTCCTCGCAGGGAGCAGGGCTCCGCCATCTAAGACTGCCCGGTTTAGCAGCCCCTTAGAAGACCTGCAGAATCTAACTGTCCCTAGCTCATACACACATACACCACACATGTCCATACACTCCTCTATCACTTCCTTGCTCTCTCACACTCCTTCCCTCCCTACCTTCCTGCCGGTCGCCATTTTTTCTTCCCCACTATGTGGATTTTTAGCCTGTAAGTCTGAAAGGACCACAAGCTCTTCTGCAGCTCTTTACTAGCATTTACCAACCCCCATGGACTATTTTCAATACTTTTTCTCTCTGCACCATTTTCTATCCCACCTCACTGTCCTGCCTTCCACCACTCTTAGATGAATGGATGTTGTAATTCTAGCTAATTTGTGGACCTGTTATTTTTGTTGTTATCTGTGAGGCACATATATTGGATGTGGGAGGTAAAGAAGCACTCAGTTTTTCCTGGTCACTGCCTTGGTAGCCATTACTATCTTGTTTCTTGTCACTCAGGTTAGGTTTTGATCTCTTGCTCCACCGCAAAAAAATAACACAAAATAAATTCTGAAGACATGGAACAGGAAGAAAGACCACATGGCCATATCTGCAGTGTTTTGAGGAGTGATTTTTCTTCCCCTTGAAGGGAAAAAGCTTTTTCAACTGGTACATTTGAAGTTGCCCAACTACAAGAGGTACCAATTTAGGATGAGTGCTACTGCAATACAAAATGCTCAGAGAAACTGAACTGTTAAATTTGAGAGGTCTGAAACTTACTCTTGGCCACTATCGAATCTGTCTGGGGTTTCAAAGAAATACTGGGTGCTGCAAATAGGAGCCAAAGGGGTAAATTTATTAAATCCATTAAACCTGTGATTGGTTACTGTTTTCTTGCAACTTTAAAGAAACTAAAAATGGGGGAGGGGCAGATGTCAAAACACTTGTCCCATTTTTATTTTTTGAAATATATTTTTATTTATTTCAAAAAGGTAGGGAGATCAAGAGAGATATAGAAACATCATTGATCAGCTGCCCTCTGCACACCCACTACTGGGGATTGATCCCGCAGCCCAGGCATGTGCCTTTGACCTGAAACAAACCTGCTACCCTTTACTCCGCAGGCCAATGCTCTATCCACGGATCCAAACCAGCTAGGGCACTTGTCCAATTTTAAAATGCCACAATTAAACATGAGCTAGTTTCCATCAATCAATCAATAAATAAATAAATAAATACATATAATAAATACATGTTGTGTGTGTATCTTCGCATGGAATCTAATAACTATGACAAAAACAGTATGACATGTTTTTGTGTCATCATCATTGCCTAACTATTCATCTACCTTTTGCTTTTTCCACTTGTGCTCCAAATGCCATGACTGTTTTTACTTTCAGATGAAGGAGTTATATTTTAACTTGCTGATTGATTTCTCTTTGCACATAAGCATGAGCCATGGTAAAAGGGATCAGCCATTTGAAAAGAAGCCTGTGTGCCACCAGGATGCCTACGAAGTGGATTTCAGTTCTGCTGCTGCTACAGCTGAGTGAAGAAATGTTTTGGGAAGGTTCTGACTTTGTTGAAAAGCTCTGTAAAGATGCTGTTTTTAATAAGAAACTTATGAGAAAACTACAGGAGTCAAGGTTTGATGTTGTTCTTGCAGATGCCATTGGAGCATGTGGTGAGCTGCTGGCTGAGCTACTTAAAATACCTTTTGTGTACAGTCTCCGCTTCTCTCCTGGCTATAAAATTGAAAAGTATAGTGGAGGACTGCCATTCCCTCCATCCTATGTACCTGTTGTCTTTTCAGAATTAAGTGACCAAATGACATTCATGGAGAGGGTAAAAAATATGGTCTATGTGCTCTATTTTGACTTCTGCCTGCAAACATATAATCAGAAGAAGTGGGATCAATTTCTGAACGAAGTACTAGGTAAGCTATGTTTTTCCTTAGTAGCATGAAGTCCTAACTTTCCTAGTGCTTCGGAAGATGAGTTGGTATAAATATTGAGAGGAATCTATCTTTTATAAGTGCAATGATTAAATAATTTATAAGAATAAAACCATAATATGCTAATTAGACCAGACAGCCAAACGACCTTCCAGATGACCTTCTGGACGAAGCTGGGTCCATGTTGGCGGAGTCAATCTGCCACAGCTGTGAGGGCCAAGCTCTTCCATGAATTTCGTGCATCGGGCCTCTAATAATATATAATGATCTTTTAATCCCACAAATACAGGAAGAGTGTTCCCCAAAAAAATGTATATACTCTTTTTTCTGATAACTCAGTTGATGTTTCTTTCTTTTCAGATTTATCCCATTGGAGTTAATAATTATTCAAAGTGTGACTATATTTGTGAGACACCCTATATTACAGAAATGCTTAAATTATAAGGTTAGTTTCAACCCTAGGGTACACTAGTATGGGATACTCCAGGAAGTTAGAGACCCCAAATTGAAGCACTGAGGAGTTCCATCAGCAATCACATATCCATTCTTTGTTTGTTTGTAATAGGCTTCATTTTTTAGAAGAGTGTTAGGTCCACAGAAAAATTAAGTAGAGATTTCCCATATATGCCCTGCCTCCTTATTGTCAACATTCCCCAGCAGAGAAGTATATTTGTCACAATTGATGAAAATATACTGAATTACTATTATTATGTAAAGTCCATAGTTTATAATATAGTTCACTCTTGGCATTGTATATTCTATGATTTTTGGACAAATTTATAATGCCATGTATCCACCATTATAGTATTGTAAAGAATAGTTTAACTGACCTAAAAATCCTCTGGGCAGTGGCTCTGTCCATTTATCCTACATATCCATTTTACTATAATTTTTTTCTTCAATAAATGCATTAGAACTTTCACTAAATATTTTCATCAAAGCACAAATGTAAATTGAGGAATTACATAGTTTTAGCACAATGTCTATGGACCATTGGGGAAATTATTTCTATTTGTTTCTCCTCAGTTTTCTTATTTAAAAATTAAACTCTTTTGCCATAATACCTGAAGGAGTCTTTGACAATGGAGAAATATGACTCTCAGCTAAGAACCTGTACCTCGAAGTTTCCAATGATTATATTGCTTCACTAAGGGCTTATAAATCATCTATTTTAAAGGCCTGAAATCTTGTTGAAGGGTAGATAATCAAGTTAAAAGTCTATATTTTTTCAAAAACTACATTTCTCTATTACAGACAAAAAAAATGAGCCAAAATTAAGGGTGAGCACATCTATTTCCATACTTTATGAAAGATTTCCAGCTGTTTTTGGCAAATATTTTTATTTCACATACAAATATTGTTAAGCTCTGAACATGAACCAAATGCAATAGTGGCCATACTCTCAAAGATCTCACAATTTACTTGTAAAATCTAGAAATAAGGGAATAGCTTGATAAATAGAATCTAGACTGAGTATTCTAGGGAAAGGCATTTCCGTGTGTATGACAGGGTTGATTGACTAAGGAGTTGAAATCACTGTTTATATTTGCATTCGTTAATTTTGAAGTTTTACAGAGTAAACAAATGCATATTTAACTCTTTAGTGCTTAAAAAAATGTTTATGATTCTGAATGTACTGATGTGATATTAGAGATAAAAGTCTATATAAATAATGTGTGTGTGAATACTGTATTTTCAAGCCAATCATTTTTATTGGTATTTATTTATTTTTAAAATATGTTTTTTATTAATTTCAAAGAGAGAAGATGGGACAAATTTAATATCCTTCATTCATTTTGCACTTTTTAAAAAATCCTCAACTGAGGATTTAGAGAGAGAGGAAGTGAAAGGGGGAGAAGAGAGAGAGAGATAGAGAGAGAAACATTGATGTGAGAGAGAAACATTGATCAGTTTCCTCCTGTGCAGGGACCAAACCTGCAACTTGGGCATGTGTCCTGACCGGGAATCAAACCAGCAACTTTTCAGAGGATGGAACGACCCTAAACCAACTGAGCCACACCAGCCAGGGCTAAGCCAATCATTTTTTAAATAATTTTTTGTCTTTAATTTTTTAACATAAATATTATGCATGCATTTATGGTACAGGGGTCATAAGGAAATTTTCTTTTTTTAATTCTTTGTTGTTGAAAGTATTACATATAGTATTACATATGTCTCCTTTTTTCCCCACTGACCTTTCCCCAGCTACCCCCAACCCCAAGCACATGCCCTCACCTACCTAGTGTCTGTGTTCATTGGTTATGCTCATATGCCTGCATACAAATTCTTTGGTTGAGCTCTTACCCATCTACCCCTCCTATTCCCCCCTTCCTGCCTTCCCTTCTGAAGTTTGACAGTCTGATGCTTCTTTGTCTCTGGATTTATTTTTGTTCATCAGTTTTTGTTCATTATATTCCACAAATGAGTGAGATCATGTGATATTTATCTTTCTCCAAGTGGCTTATTTCGCTTGGCATAATGCTTTCCAGGTTCATCCCTGCTGTTGTGAATGCTAAGAGTTCTTCCTTTTTTACAGCAGCATAGCATTCCATTGTGTAGATGTACCACTGTTTTTTAATCCACTCATCTGCTGATGGGCACTTAGGCTGCTTCCAAATCTTAGCTATTGTAAATGAACATAGGAGTGCATATGTCCTTTCTGATTGGTGTTTCTGTTTTCTTGGGATATATTCCTACAAGTGAGATTACTGGGTCAAATAGGACTTCCATTTTAATTTTTTTAGGAAACTCCATACTGTTTTCACCAGTGGCTGCACCAGTCTGCATTCCCACCAGCAGTGCATGAGGGTTCCTTTTTCTCCACATCCTTGCCAGCGCCAGCACTTGTCATTTGTTGATTTGTTGATAATAGCCATTCTGACAGGTGTGAGATGGTATCTCATTGACATTTTGATTTGCATCTCTCGGATGACTAGTGACTTTGAGCATGTTTTCATCTATCTCCTGGCCTTTAGTATGTCCTATTTTGAAAAGTGTCTATTTAAGTTCTTTGCCCATTTATTTATTGGATTGTTTGTCTTCCTTTTGTTAAGATGTAAGAGTTCCCTGTAAATTTTGGAGATTGGCCCTTGCCAGAGATAAAATTGGCAAATCTGTTTTCCCATGCAGTGGGCTTTCTTGTTTTGTTGATGGTTTCTTTTGCTGTGCAGAAGCTTTTTGTTTTGATGTAATCCCATTTGTTTATTTTCTCCTTAGTTTCTGTTGCCCTAGGGGCTGTATTGGTAAAGATATTCCTGCGACATGTCTGATAGTCTACTGCCTATGGATTCTTCTAAAATTTTTATTGTTTCCCATCTTACATTTAAGTCCTTTATCCATTTTGATTTTATTTTTGTGTATAGTGGTCTAGTTTCATTTTTTTTGCATGTGTCTATCCAATTTTTCTAACACCCTTCATTGAAGAGACTGTCTTGACTCCATTGTATGCTCTTGTCTCATTTGTCAAATATTTATTGAGCGTAATGGCTTGTGTCGAATTCTGGGTTCTCTGTTCTGTTCCATGGCTCTATATATCTGTTTTTGTGCCAGTACCAGGCAATTTTGAAAAGAATGTAAGCCAATCACTTTTAAACATCTTTGGCTACATTACTCTAAGCTAATTTCAGAAAATTATCTGTTATATTCACATTACACTATTCTCATTTTCACTACTTTTTTTTTCTTTTCTTTTTTCCCTTCAGGAAAACCCATTACTTTATTTGAGTTAATGAAGAAAGCTGAAATGTGGCTTATTCGAACCTATTGGGATTTTGAATTCCCTCGCCCACTTTTGCCACATTTTCAATTTGTTGGAGGCCTCCACTGCAAGCCTGCTAAGCCTCTGCCTAAGGTAAAACTATTCATGTTTGTTCTACTTTGATTATTTTGCACTTTCAGTGGAAATTATTCTGTGTTCTTCACTCAGAATGTCTGATCACACAGTGAAAGATATGGGAATCTGGGTCAAGTGACCATTAGAAACTCATATATTTTATACTATTTCAAGAATTTGAATGTCATTATCATTACCAAATAAATAATTATATTTGGGAGACTTTGGAAATAGGGTCAGTTAAATTAAGCTCTTCCCTGTTGAACACATAAGAAAGTGTCAATCATTCATTCAAAGACATTCTTAGAGTGACTCGCATAGCCAGAGATAAGCACTGGATAAAAGAGAAACAGTGAAGACACAATTTTTATCCATAAATACCCGACATTCTACTTGGAAAAACAGAATCTATATACATAAAAGCCTAAGTGACCGAATGACCAGTCACTATGATGCGCACTGACCACCAGGGGGCAGACGCTCAATGCAGGAGCTGCCCCCCAGTGGTCAGTGTGCTCCTACAGTGGGAGTGCCACTCAGCTGACCAACAGGCGCCAGACACTGGTGAGGCAGCTGTGCAGTGCAAGCCTATCCCACCTTCATGACAGCACTACTGAGCAGCAGCAGCTGCAGGCACAGGGGGACTGGGATGAGCAGGAGCAGTGTGGCCCCTGGCCTGGGCTCCTCTCCAGCTGTCTGCCACTTTGTGCATTACTACATCCACCGAGGGGTCCCGGATTGCGAGAGGGCGCAGGCCAGGCTGAGGGACCCAACCGGTGCACAAATCCATGCACCAGGCCTCTAGTATTAGTAATAAAAATTTTGTGAAGGGTAGTATAATAAGGAAAGACCACAATGCTAGGTAATATCCAGCAGGGATTATAGAAAATATTTCATATTATTGATAATTAAGTGGGAACTGAAGGCTGTGTAGTAATAGCAGAAAGGAATGGTAAGAAAGGAAGACACAAAAGGTAATGCAAGAAAAATAATAATAATTCCCAAGAAGTCCAAGTTTAGTGTATCAGGAAGAGGCTGAATAAAGAGGCAGATGATGCTGGAGAAGTAAGTTAGAGATAAGTAATTATAGGAATTCTGAAGCATCTTATGAAAGTATTCAGGAGTCAGTGAAAAGGGGCAAAGGGAGTGAAAGGGCAGAGATATGATCAGATTTTCCTTTTCACAAAGCCCTCAAGATGTAATCTCTGGATTGAATTGCATAGGGTCAAGAGTGGAAAGACAGACAAAGAGGAGGCTGTTGTGAGAATTCCAGCAACAAATAATGGAAAACTACACATTAAAGATGTGAATACAGCTACTCTTATAGTTATAATACCAACCTCATATTTCTATTCAGTATAAAAAAAATTATACTTACAATGTCTATGGCACATAGTGACACAAAAGCAATATTAACTATTGTCACTATTGTTATTTTTACTGCTGTTAAGAACAGTATTGGCCAGGCCAAGTAGCTCAGTTAGTTAGAGAATTGTCCCAGTGTGCCACGGTTGCAGGTTTGATCCCAATCAGGGCCCATACAAGAAGCAGCCAATGAGTGCATGAATAAATGGCAACAAATGAGGTATCTAGACTACTCAAATGCATAGAAACAAAGTAGAATGATGATTGTCAGTTCCAATTTGCAAGATGAAAAAGTACTTAGAGATGGGTTGCATAACAATAAGACTATATATACTACAGAACTGTGCATTTAATAATGGTTAAGATGGTCCCTGGCCAATGTGGCTTAGTTGGTTAGGTACTGTCCCATGCACCAAATGTTATTGGCTCGATTCCCAGTCAGGGAATATGGCCAGCTTGTGGGCACCGCCACCTTGAACATGCAGGAGGCAGCCAATAGATGATTCTCTCTGTCTCTCCCTCTCTCTTCTTCTCTCTCGCTAAAAATAAATAAAAATATTTTTAAATACTTAAGATGGTAACTTTATATTATGTGCATTTTAACACAATTTAAAATAACAAGCACTACACTAATAACTCCTTATAATACTTAATTTTCTCTTTGGCTGTTTGTAGCAACACCTTCAATAGTGTTCACTATGCTATTGCTCTTTTGTGATGGAGACAATTCTTTCTTCACAGGAAATGAAAGAGTTTGTCCAGAGCTCTGGAGAAAATGGTATCGTGGTGTTTTCCCTGGGGTCGATGGTCACTAACATGACAGAAGAAAGAGCCAATGTGATTGCATCAGCCCTTGCCCAGGTTCCTCAAAAGGTTAGGTAAACTACCTTAGAGCAGAAAACTAATGAATGTGTTAAACTCTGTAAAGGGTCTGGTTAAAGAAATTTCTACATGAAAGGTAAACTATTAGGGTAGCTCCAATTATCTCAGATAACAATTTGAAAAACAAAATACACATGGCAGATGCTAAAGTAGTACAGAGGGTGTTTTTGATGGACAATAACTTTGGCATTAACATTCTGGTCACAAAGAAGTATATTTCAAAAGTACAGTGTGAAGTTTGGTTTGATAATAGTATTATAGGGCAGGAACAGATATCACCAAATCCTATCCTGTCATTTGCTTCATTTCCTTGCAGGATTCCTAGAGTACTGTACACACTACAGATGTTATGAAAATGGACTTAAATTTTAACATTAACCACGGAATAATAACAGTCTGAAAGGCATCTTACAATTTAGACTTTCCAGGTAATCCAGGCCTCTCCTACTTTCCCTGG